ACAAGAGGGCTGTGGAGCTGCTGGAGAGAGTCCAGCGCAGGGCTACAAGGATGATCAGGGGCCTGGAACATCTGCCCTATGAGGAGAGGCTGAGGGAGCTGGGCCTGTTCAGCCTGGAGAAGAGAAGGCTGAGAGGGGATCTGATCAGTGTCTATAAGTACCTCAAGGGAGGCAGTGAGGAGGATGGTCCTGGCCTCTTCAGTGGTGGCCACTGACAGAACTAGAGGAAAGGGCCAGAAACTGAAGCACCAAAAGTTCCACAGGAACTTAAGGAAAAATTTCTTAACAGTGAGGGTGACAGAGCACTGGAACAGGCTGCCCAGAGAGGTTGTGGAGTCTCCTTCTCTGGAGATCTTCCAAACCCGCTTGGACGCAGTCCTGTGCCACGTGCTCTAAGGTGACCCTGTGTGTGCAGGGGGGTTGGACTAGGTGACCTCTAGAGGTCCCTTCCAACCTTAAACATTCTATGATATGATTCTATACTATGGTGTTATATTAAGAGTTCTCCACCATTTGGAAAGTTGCTCCATTCACTGCTAGTAGTTGATTAAACTGGTAATTGTAATGCTGATAAAGATTGGGGATTTCTGTGTTAAAGGAAACTGCAGATGTACACCACAAAGTGTGGCAATTCATTATCGATTGCTTTGTATCCTTGCCTATCTCACACTGAGTAGAGGCCCCTTGAGATCCTATTTCTTGGCTCCTTCCACAGGCTCCTGTGTTCAATGGAAAGGTTCATGCGGAAGCCTTGATTAAGTCGGGTCTGACCTCCATGCTGGTAGTATCTGTTAATGTTTGTATTTCAGCTTTACTGCTTTCATTCCTTATCTATATTTATTGTAATGTAAATACGCGTATAAATGTGAAGTTGTATACAAATATTTATATTTAAATATATTTAAATATGTATATAAATATGAACTAATTCAGTCATTCCATTTTGTCTTGGGTAGGAAGTGATATATCCAAAGAAAAATAATGCAACACTTTTTAAGAATATAGCAGGGATTCTTCTTGAGTTACAAGTGCTTCAGGATTTTTTTTTGTCTGTTGATATTCTTTAAGATATCTTTCCATGGAGAAAAGAAACTTAAAGAAAGAAACTTTGTTAACATCACTATTGCTAGGCTCTTGCCAATATGAGTCAGTTACTATGCAGGGATTGCAAGTTGCACTTTGGTGCATGATGAGTGAAGTGACTCCACCTTTGCTAGTTCACCAATCGGGGTGTGTGGGGTTTGGCACTTAATTCCGTAGCTCAACATCTGGTGCATAATGATACAGCATATGTTGCAATATTGCCCCTTCACCTGGTAGGGCTGGGCTTGGACTCAAGTGAAGGTAAGTGCTAATGATAGTGTGCAGGTAGCGTGCTTCAGGCTGCCTCCAGAAACCTTGCCTGGGGAAAACCCCTTGCAAGCTGCCTCTTGAGGAAGCGAAAGTGCCAGCAAGCCTTGTGCCCTGTCTAAGGGGGTGTGTGAAGGGCAAATTCCTCCACGTGAGCCAAGGCCCTGCCACTCATCAGCTGCATCTGTCACCCCCTTCCCTGCCATGGTGCCTCCTTGTGTGCTCCCCTGGTCCTCACTGCACGGGGAGGGACACAAGGGAGCTGGGGGTGGTTTGTTGGAGTTATAAATATTAGTAGCAAAGATCTCCTGGAAAACTCCCAGGTACGAGCAAAAAAAGAGAAACCCCAAACAAACACCTGCCCTCTTAAGTGTGCCAGGGGATGCCCAGGGCCCCACCTCTCTGCTTATGTTAAGCACCCAAAGGGGACATCAGCCTATAGCTCCGTCTATACACATACAGCGTTCTGAAGGCAGGCACATACATACAAATATATATAAACATATATTTAGTTATTAGTTATTAGTTAAGGGTAGCTTTAGC